AAAAAAAAAAAAAGAAAGTATTCAGAATAGAATCCTTAAAGACTATAATCCAACTCCCTAAATCTACAGATGAGTGAATTGAATTACAGAGAGGTTGATGTGATTTGCTCCAGGTCATGTAGCTAGTGATTGAGAATAGAGCCTGGAATTCTTGAGTGCCAGTTCTATGCTCTCCCTCCTTCTCTTCAACAAATATTTGAGACCTTTCTTTTAATAAATATTAATTGTTAATGTTTACAGAGTTGCTTCTCTGGGGTTGTCACTGCCTAATCAAGCTCTGTTCCATATTCTCCAAGTTATTAGGAATCTAAAGGGCATTTTCTTTATTCCCCCTTGTCACCTTCTTCTAGGAAAAGTAATGTTTTGACTCCTGGTGCAAAAGGTTTTGAAGAAGATAACTGATGGTCTGTCATTTCTTTCTGACAGTTGTAATGTGTTCTTGGAGCAAATTGTCAGTTTTTAGTTTAAATTTCATTTTAGAGGAGCAAAACAGTACCAATTGTAGAAGTCTCTGTTGATTTATCTTTAAGTATTTCTTCCTTGTAAACACATAGGTGTTTTGAGATATCTCCGAGAAAATGTTGAAAACAGGTCTGTGTGTACTTTATCAAGCAGTACTTTATATGACAAACATCTTTATATGACTATGTCCTAGGGTAGGTGCTTACATGACTGTGTCCTACGTAGGTAGTTACACAACTATTGCCTATGGTAAGTGCTCAAATGTTCAGTTGATTGAATCAAATCCTTTCTTCGAGGTTTCATTTCTCTGGTTAAAGTGTCTGCAGCAGCTCCAGTGATTGACTTCATGATGAGTTTCTCCCCCATCCCTCCACTGTTCCTGTAAAACTTCTGTATTCAATATTCCACCTCTGTCAGGATATAAACCTACTTTGTTTGCTATTTTATTTGTTTGTTTGCTTTGTAGTCCGTTTGCTGATGCTTCTAACAGAATACCTGAAACTAGGTAATTTATAAAGAAACAGAATTTTATTTTTTATAGTTTTTCAGATTGGGAAGTCCAAGATCGAGGGAACACACCTGGTGAGGACCTTCTTCCTGGTAGGAACTTTTTACAGAGTCTTGTGGTGATGCAGGGAATCACGTGGCAAGGGCTGGGCAGGAGCGCTCTTTAATGCGTTCACTTGCTCTGTTTATAAAGCCACCAGAGCCACTCCCTCATAACCCATTAAACCATTAATCCATAATCTATGAATGGATTAGTCTATTCTTGAAGGCATAGTCCTCATGATCTAATCACCTCTCAAATACCCCACCTTTCAAACACCATAATGGAAATTAAGTTCCAACATGAGCTTCTCAGGGGACAAACATTCAAACCGTAGCATTCCAGGCCACCCGTGGCTCACTTGGGAGAGTATGGGGCTGGTAAAACCAAGGCCATGGGTTCAGATCCCTACATAGGGATGGCCAGTTAGCTCACTTGGGAGAGCATGGTGCTGACAACACCAAATCAAGGGTTAAGATCCCCTTACTGGTCATCTTTAAAAACAAACAAACAAACAAAAAAACCCATAGCATTCTGCCCCGGCCCACCAAAGGTCATATCTTTCCCACATACAAATTCATTCTATCTCCATAGCCCCTGTATTAGTCCGTTTGTGTTGCTTATAACAGAATACATGGAACTGGGTGATTTATAAAGAA